AGTAGCTGAAACAGCAGTAGATTCAAGTTCAGTTGCTGTGCTGGAGATAATACAACCTCCAATTTTCAAAAGAGAAGAACAGTAACATTCGGAAGGTACCACAAAAGGAAGTCTGACACATCCTACAGCCACTCAAGAGAAGTGAAGTCAAATGGTTCAGAGAAACAGCTAAAAGAGATCTACGAGGAAATTAGGAAAATGTGCCCGCCATAAGCCAGAGGAGACCTGTTGGCATGGAGCAGGTCCTTCCAAAGGCACAAGCTGTAGCCTGTGAAGCCAGAGTCTGTGATAAGACAGGGTCAATCATTTCCAAGAAGAAAACTCCTTCAATTATGAAGTAACCAATCACAAGCTCAGGCTGTCGGCAGGTATAGGGACTGGGATCTAGGGATCTGTGAGGATTCCTGGATGAGAAATACTAGTATAATGTCTAAATATGATAATGAGAAAGCATTTCTTCTTGTGTGCATAAAGGATGATCACTAACTTGTGAGATGCCCAGTGATTCATCAGTACAAAGAAGTCTCAGGCCGGGCAGTGGTGGTGAACACCTTTGATCCCAGCACTCTGAGGCAGAGGCAGATGATCTCTGTGAGTTTGAGGCCAGCCTGGTCTACAGAGATAGTTCCAGGGTAGCTAGGGCAATTGTGTGTGTGTGTGGGGTGTGTGTGTGTGTGTGTGTGTGTGTGTGTGTGTGTGTGTGTGTGTGTGTGTGTGTGCGAGTGCTGGCTTAGAGTGTGTGTGTGTGTTGGGGGGACCCACTCACAGAGTGTATGTGGCGGTCAGAAGACAACTTGATGGAGTCAGTTCTCTTCTTCCACATCAAGATTGCAACAGGCACCTTTACCTACTGAGCCACCTTGACAGTCCGTGGGAGTCTTTTTTAATATGGTCAAAGGTTCCCTTATACAGATATCCTAGAGGTTCTTGGTGTTTTTCTGTGACTGACCAAACACAATTAGGTAAGCCAGGAACCTGCCTGTGTGTGAGGAAGTTCCATGTCTCAGGAAGCCCTTCTCAGAAGAAAAAACCAAAAACATACTCTTCTGTTTTCCTTTTTTTTTTTTTTTTTTTTTTTTTTTGGTTTTTCGAGACAGGGTTTCTCTGTGGCTTTGGAGGCTGTCCTGGAACTAGCTCTTGTAGACTAGGCTGGCCTCGAACTCACAGAGATCCGCCTGCCCCTGCCTCCCGAGTGCTGGGATCAAAGGCGTGCGCCACCAACGCCCAGCCTGTTTTCCATTTTTATAAGTTTTTTTTTTACTATTATTGAATGGGAAGATATTGTGAAACTCAAAGTTTTGGTTTATTTTTTTCTAGATTAAAATATCATCTGTGCTTTATTATACTTAATGGAAAGCCTTTAGGGTTTCTCTGTATTGCTTTCGAGTCTATCCTGGAACTCACTCTGTAGACCAGGCTGGCCTCGAACTCACAGAGATCCGCCTGCCTCTGCCTCCTGAGTGCTGGGACTAAAGGCATGTGCCACCAATGCCCGGCTACAACCTCGACTTTTATTAGTCATCAAATAATACTTATAGGAAAGAAATCCTATCACCATGTAAATGTGGAAACTCCTTCGGAGTAGAGTACATCCTTTGCTGAATGTTGAAAAGCTCAGTTGAAACAATTCCATCAGTGTGATGGCCATGGGATATGTTAACCCAGAGCTCAGTACCTTGTGAACAGGAGGGACCTCATTCTGAGAATAAAAACACTATCACTTGCAAATTTGGGGGAAGCCTTAAGGCACAGCACACAACTTACTGAACTTCAGAGAACACACACACATGAATATAAGGAATTTGGAAAGTTTTTTCCCCCAAAGTTCAGTCCTTAAACAATGTAAGAAAATTCATGACAAAGAGTAACTCAGTTGGTAAGAGTGCTTGCTAAGCATGCACAAAGCCCAGAACCACATAAAATCAGACAGGATGACAGGAGGTAGAGACAGGAAGATCAGAAGTTCAAGATCACCTTCAGGTACCAAGCAAGTTTAAACCCAGCCTTCCATACATGAGCCCCAGTGTTGAAAGGCTGAGAGACAGAGAGAGACCACATCATCAAATGTAGTTAGATGTAGTAAATCATGCAAAGAGTAGTTTATTACATTGTCTACCAAAAAGGAAGTATTCAGTACAAGTGATATGCTCAACAGGTAAGGCCAGGTGACTAGAGTGTGATCTGTGGAACCCACATAAAGGTGGACGGTGAGACTGGACTTCATCCACAGTTCTTCTCTAACCTCCACACACATGCCTGACATGAAAGCCAGGGCACCTGATACATGCATGGGTGTGGCCCATGCATGCACATACACACATAAACAAAATATAAATGTAACAAAAAATTAGGACAGTTTGCAGAGGTTGGTTCATTTCTTCTATCAGGTGGGTCCTGAGGAACAAACTCTAGTTTGGTGGCAGGATCTTTACCCACTGAATCATCTTGCTGGCTCAGCAAAGCTTTTCTTAAAGGGTCAGATAGTATTTTAGGTTCTGTGGACTTTAGGGCTTCTACTGCAACTACTTAACTGCGATTACAGAACAAAAGAAGCCATTAAGAAAACATAAGTAGAGCTGGGCGTTGGTGGCGCACGCCTTTAATCCCAGCACTCGGGAGGCAGAGCCAGGCGGATCTCTGTGAGTTCGAGGCCAGCCTGGTCTACAGAGTGAGTTCCAGGACAGCCTCCAAAGCCACAGAGAAACCCTGTCTCGAAAAACCAAAAAAAAAAAAAAAAAAAAAAGAAAACATAAGTAATAGCCAGGCATGACAGTGCACACCTGTAATCCCAGCACTCAGGAGGCAGAGGCAGGAGGATCTCTGTGAGTTTGAGGTCAGCCTGGTCTACAAAGCAAGTTCCAAGACAGCCAGAGCTGTTATACAGAGAAACCCTGTCTTCAAAAGCAAACCAAAAAGAAAAACAAAAACACATAAGTAAATATGACTGGTCTAATAAAACTTCATGTACAAAAACAGGTAACAGGGATAAGTAAGGAAGGTGAAGGGATGAATACAATCAAAGTATGTTATATACATGTATGAAAACATAGTAAATCCACTCTTCTATATTATTAAAATATCCTAAATATTTAAAACAAACAGGGAACAGCCAATGTAGGCTCCTGGGCAGTTTATAGACCCTGGTTTACTGATCTATACCTTCTGAGTTTTTTTGTTTTTTTTTTGTTTTTCGAGACAGGGTTTCTCTGTAACTTTGGAGCCTGACCTGAAACTCGCTCTGTAGACCAGGCTGGCCTCGAACTCACAGAGATCTGCCTGCCACTGCCTCCCAAATGCTGGGATTAAAGGCGTGTGCCACCAACGCCGGGCTCCCTCTGAGTTTTTTGTTTTGTTTTGTCTTTTAAGAAATGGTCTCACTTTGTAGTCTAGGCTAGCCTTGAAATCACAACAATCCTACCACACCCTCTGAATACTCGGGTTATAAGAGTGAGCCAACATACTCAGTTCCTCGTTTTTTTAAATGCTCATTTTTGTTGTTTTCAATTTTGAGTGTAAGCACACATAGTGTAGGTCCCTGGAATCAAATTACAGGCATCTGTGAGCCACCTGACATGGATGCTGGGACCCAAGCAAGTGCTGTTAACCTCTGAGTCATCTCTCTAGTCCTACTCTTTTGCATCGTTGGTATTTTGTGGCAGTGTTCTTTTTTTCCCTGTGTGATTGGTTTTAATTTATTAGGTTTATTGATCTTTTTCAAACCACCTTTTATTTTCATTGATTTTTTTCCTCTATTGTTTTTGTTTGCTTAGTTTTTGCTTCATTAATTGCTCTTAATGTATTATTCTTTTTCAATGTTTTTGTTTGTTTTTTGCTTTTTGTTTACTTTTGTTGTTGTTTTGTTTTTCGTTCGGTTTTTCAAGTTTCTCTGTGTAGCTTGGAGCCTATCCTGGAACTTGCTCACAGAGATCCACCTGCCTCTTTGGGATTCAAGGCGTGTGCCCCCCCCCCGCTCTCTTTTCAATGTTTTATAGATGCATAAATCATTGGCTTTCTATCATAAAAAAATGAGCCTTTCATATTTGATAGTGCACATTTCTTTTTTTAATTATTGTTTATTTTATAGACACTGGTGTTTTGCCTCCATGTATGTCTGTTTGAGGGTGTCAGGTCTCCTGAAACAGGAGATAGAGACAGTTGTGAGCAGCCATGTGGGTGCTAGGAATTGAACCCAGGTCCTATGTAAGAGCAGGCAGCCAGTTGTCTTAACCACTGAGCCATCTCTCCAGCTCCCACATTTCTTAGCTCTTCTCTTCTCTTCTTTTCTTTTCTTTCTTTCTTTCTTTTTTTTTTTTTTTTTTTTTTTTTTTTGGTTGTTTTTTGAGACAGGGTTTCTCTGTGTAACAGCACTGCTGTCCTGGAGCTCACTTTGTAGACCAGACTCACCTCAAACTCAAACTCACAGAAATCTGCCTGGCTTTTCCTCCCAAGAACTGGGATTAAAGGTATGCACCCCACCCCCACCCTGGCTAAGAAGCAGTGCACATTTCTAATCCCACCACTTGGGAGGCTAAGGGGATCACTGTGAGCTCCAAACCAGTCTGGCTACAGAGGAAGAGCCTATCTTTAAAAAGCCTTTAATCCGCCGGGCGTTGGTGGCGCACGCCTTTAATCCCAGCACTCGGGAGGCAGAGGCAGGTGGATCTCTGTGAGTTCGAGGCCAGCCTGGTCTACAAAGTGAGTTCCAGGACAGCCTCCAAAGCCACAGAGAAACCCTGTCTCGAAAAACCAAAAAAAAAAAAAAAAAAAAGCCTTTAATCCCAGCACTCAGGAGAGGCAGAGGCAAGAGGATCTCTGTGAGTTCCAGACTAGCCTGGTCTACAAGAGTTAGTTCCAGAACAACCTCCAAAGCCACAGAGAAACCCTGTCTCAAAAAACCAAAAAAAAAAAAAAAAAAAAAAAAAAAGCAAATAAATAAAACTTGGACATTATTTGCATAAAACACCTACACAAACAAAACTAACATTTTTTTGAGCCAAATTTTTTTATTTATTCATTTCTTGCACTGGAAGTCCTCCTCGATGACATCCTTGGCCTGAGATTCTTTGCCATAGTCCTTAACCACTACACAACTGCAACCAACCACTTTCCGTGGTTTCCTCTCTCGATCAATTTTACAGAGGCCTACCCATTCCCCTAGTTTCTTGTCATCAACCTTAATTAGGTTGATCAGGTGCTCGGCACTAAGGGCCTCCACCAACTTGACATACATGGGCTCATCACAATTTGATGCAAGCACACAGAAATAGGCTTGGCGCTTGTCTAAGGCTTTGGCAGCTTCGCAGATGCCACGTGCGAGGCCATCGTGGATGAGGGCGGTCTTCAGCACCTCCTGAAGTGCAGTATTGATGTCCATTAGTCCTCCAGCAGCAATGCCTTCCTCGGCCATGGCGGTGGATTACGTGTGAGGCTGAATCTTAAACACACCCGAGCCTCCGCCTCCGCACAACTTGGCGGCGGCAGGGGGAAAGCCAAAACTAGCATTTTATCATTATTAAAGGAAAGGTTTGTATATGTCCCCAGTTCAGCAGCGTGCAGTCCACCATGGAGAGGCATGGTCTCTGGTGCTGAACAGCAAGCAGAGAAAAGAGAATGCAGGTACTCAGCAGGCTTTTTTCTCTTCCTTTTCTACATAGTCTGGGCCCGGAAACGACCCCCACACACACCAATGCCATCCACATCAGAATGGGTCTTCAGTTAAGCCCCTCTGGAAATACCTTCACAGATACACTCAAGTGTGCGCCTCATTAATGTGCTAAGTGCATACTAATCCAATCAAGTTGACCACAGAAATAAGCCATCACATGGTGGTTCCACTGGGTATTCAATAATTAGAAACACAGGAAAACAGTTCTTCTCTGGTCATTCATTGGATGAAGAATAAGTCCTCTTCTTGGATGATGAAAAGATAATTAACCAGCTCTGAACACCAGTTACTAGAAGCTTAACCTTTGAAGGACAACTTAACCTCTCCAAGATTCAATTGCTACTGCTCTTGGAAAACAGTCTGCTAGAGGAGGGCGCAGGGGCACTGGGGGAGTCAATATTGGATTCCAGAAGTAATGTGGATAAAAGGTGAGGAGAAAATAAACTCCAATTTTAGATCAGTTCCTCTTCCTGCCCACGCCTCTATAGGCTGGCTCTGCTCCCAGGGCTTAGGCAAAAGCAATATTAAATGCTTACAAAAAAGGGCTTACAGTTGGTAGACCCGGAGACTGAAAATCATTTGAGAACAGCTGGAGCTCACTGTAGGTAGGAACATGTAGAAAGCTCAGCTAGGGTGACAGCAACAGGCAAAGCTGATCACTGACTATCATGCTGGCAAAACAAAAAAGACAGAACTCCTCTTTGTGTTACCTAGATGATCCCCAAAAGAAAAGGCCCCGGAACTAGCAATGCTTATTCTCATTACTCCTCAAAAGGCAGAATTCTAATAAATCTGGTACAAAATCTAGACCAGGTTCCACAATTCCAAGTAGCAGAGTAGAAACTGTAGAATAAAAGAATTGTTGCCAGGAGGAAATTCACTAAAGCTTTCAGTAAACTGTGAACAACTCTGGAAATATTTAGATGCACTAGGGTTGCCTCTGGCATTCTTAAAACTCAGGCAGGTAATAAGCAAACGTGAAGATGCCACTGGCTGGCAACCACATGTCCAGTAGAGACAAAACACCCACTACCTCAAAAGTCAATTGACAAAGTACCCTGAGGCACTGAACCAAATCCATCATACTGCATCCAAAGGGAATGGCTAGGGTGGTGGAAATAGGAGTAGGGACCAGTGTTGCTTCAGAAAAAGAAAAAACCCAGAGCAAATGGTAAGTTCTTCCCTGGGGTGGGGTTTTTTCTGCAGAAACAAGCACAATGAAGGCACTGTATAATAAAATCTGCATGTTTCACTGAATGTCTAAATTCACTACTCTGTAACAATATACAGAATTCATTGAATGTTTTCCCCTGGACCTACTAATGAACTATTATTAAGCAGTAAAGCAGAAGCCTTAAATTTGGTGCTGAACCTGTGAACTATGGCTCTATACCATCTCCCAGCAGCCATCATATGCTGCATCTCAGCCAAGATGGCCACCAAAGAGAACTGGGAAACCAGGCACACTATTAGAACTGCTCAAAAACCAACTTGGGACAAGCTGGCCTTCCTTTTGCTGTCAGGATGTCTGTCACCTGCACACCCACTAATAAACAAATACAAAAATGGTGCCACATTCCTCCCCACACAAGTTTTCTTCTGTAGAGTACACTTGCAAGGCCAGGCAGGGGGGTAACAAAATCCTTCCACAGGGTGCAATTAGGTATTATGAAGTTTAGAAAAGGCCAGAGTAATAACCATTGCCCCCTCTCCTCTTTCTCAAAAGGGCCAACACTTTTATTTCCTAACTGCATACATCAGAGTGAAGGTAGCAGTTGCCTCACAAAGCAATCCTTTGAAAAGAAAGTAATTACTATGCACTGCCTTTGCTGTGTGCCTAGGTTGTTAAAAGCACAGTTTGTTAAACATTATGGTGTAGGTAACTTGCTGAAACTAAACTCTCTGCTAAACAAGAGTTATTAGGCTTTGATTCTTTTTCCTTGACTGCAGTGTTTCCATGTTTTCAGAGGTCTTTATGACAACTCCCTAGGACACAGCTGACCAACACATATGTCTCTGCTGTTATTTACATTAACTCTTGATGATCTGTAAAATTAAAAAGATGGGCTTTTTTGTTTGTTTTGAGACGGTTTCTCTGTGTAACAGATCTGGCTGTCTGGAACTAGCTTTGTAGAACAGCTGGCTTCGAACTCACAGAGATTCACCTGCCTCTGCTTCCCGAGCACTGGGATTAAAAGTGTGGGCTGTCGCCACCGCCACTCCCACTACCCCACCAGCCCCGTGGAAAAAAGGTTTTCATAGTTGAAGAGATGGCTCAGTGGTTAAAAGCACCGGCTACAGCTTTGCAGTGGTGGCATACTCCTTTAGTCCTTGCATTCAGAAGGCAGAGTCAGGTGGCTCTCTGAGTTCCAGGACAGCCAGGACTATTACATAGAGAAAGCCTATCTTGAAAAACAAAAAAGAACACTGACGACTCTTCCAGGGGACCCAGGTTTAATTCCCAGCACCCACTTGACAGCTCATGTTGTCTGTAACTCCTACATTTCTTTCCTGGATGGTCTCCGTTTGTCCATGTCATGGAGTCGTCCTTCTGTAAGTGCTGAGGGTTGGACATTGTATCTTGGGATTCACAGGCTTCACAAGACTTGACTCTTAGTAGACATTCATAGAATGTTCCTAGCTTTTAAAGTTCAGCCAATGTTTAAATCAATTTGTTATTTCAAGTGGCAAAACTTAGCAAAAGATGTCACCTCCAGTATGATCACTTGGGTTTTAGTCATTTGAGTCAGGTTTTAATGCTGATTAATTTCCTTGGAAATCAGTTTTGAAGTTATGTGTGGTGATGCTACCTGCAATATCAGCACGGGAAGCTGAGGCAGGAGGACCTGAGCAAGACCCTGTCTCAGAAGACAGAGGAGGGAGGGAAAGGAGGAGAAACTGAAGGAGGCAGAAGCATCATGAGTTGTCTAGAGCAAATGAAGAAATGCTAAGTTGTGGGAACACCAGACCTTGAGCAGAGACCCACTTCCCCTTCTGCCTGGGAGTAGGCAGCTGTAAGACAATGTATACTAAAAACAATACAATGCCTGAGGGCATTAAGTTCCTGGAAAAGGCCTGCCCGCAGAAACCACCCTGAGCTCGACCTTGTCCAGAGACTAACCGCCTCTTCTGCCACGCCCAGATCAGTTTCTGGGGTCAGGGGAGAACCAGCCAGGGTAGAGGAGAGAGCAGAAGCTTCTCTGGTGGGAGCCTTTCTTAGGAAGTTTTCTTGAACCTTTTTGGAGCCTGCTTAAAGTTTTCTTTACATCGTTGAACGAGTCTCTGTGTTGTCAATCCCCGACACCCTCCGCACGTTCTCGGACACAGGCCGCGCAGCAGACGCGACACTAAGTGGCTGAAGAGATCACTGAGTAATGAGCCAGCTAGGAAATAGGTTTTCTTTTTTTCTTTTTTTGGTTTTTCGAGACAGAGTTTCTCTGTATTGTTTTGGAGCCTGAACTGAAACTCGCTCTGTAGACCAGGCAGGCCTCGAACTCACAGAGATCTGCCTGCCTCTGCCTCCCGAGTGCTGGGATCAAAGGCGTGCGCCACCAACGCCCGGTGGAAATAGGTTTTCTTGCCCAAACCCTAAGCTATAAAGTCCTTTGAAATCACAGTGCAATTCATTCTTTGTGCAAGGACCAACCAAGTTTCATCACCCTGAGCCATCTACTTCAGACCACTCCACTTCAAGATAAGAAAGGTTTTCACCATAGAAACTTCTGAACAAGGTCAACAGTAGAGAATAGCTTCCTAGTTCACCCAGGCGGAGAGAGAGCCATCCATTGCTGTTGACACTTGGTTCACTTCCGTGCCCTTTTAAAACAAGCAACTCAAAGTTCAGGCCACCTAAGCAAAAACATGGAGACCATCCTATCTCAATTTTAACTCAGCTTCTGCCTGCTACTTATTAATAAATGAAAAGTTTGCATTAATTGAATATAGTTATCATTACATTTCAAAAGGCCCATCTGTCAAGGTTTAGCCCAGAGCCATTTTTCACAACCAAGTGTTAATCGAATCACTGGTTATTGCTGAAAATAGCTCTCTTACCATAAAATCACCTGCTCAGAAACAATCCAGTCATCAGGAGCTTTATAATACTTAAAGGCAGATTAAAGACAAATGATTAAAACATGTACTTTAAAAAAAACACACTGTAACTGGGGGGGGTTACATTGCTGCATATGATGTACTCAGAGTCCAAAGCTTTTTCTCCCACCACCTATGACTAAAAGACTCTAGAGAACGCTGTCAGCTAGCAGAGCACGCCTCCAAGCCACAGCGTGAAAGGGAGCCCACACCTCCCCATATAATGCTGTCTTTGTACTTCAAAAAGTACAGGTATCAAATGATAACAGATACATTTTGGTTTGTATATAAAAGTTCAGGCTCTGTAAAAGGAAAAAAAATGCAAAACAACAAAAGCAGCTAGATATGATGCCAAGGATCTAGCAATTCCCGTGAGGCCAATACAATGATATTGTTAAGACACTGCCGTTGATTGCCATCTCTGACTGCAGTTATTATGAGCTGATAAGTTATTTGCACTCAACTACAATCACACCAACCTCCTTCTGAAACCCACACAAAGAACCTTGAATCAGAGCCCTGTTTTGTTTTGGAGAGGGTTTTTTTCCCCACCCCTGATTTGTTTTCTTATTTCTAAAGAAAAGGTCATTTAGAAGGCTACAGCAGAGACACACAGATTAAATAAATTAGCAATAAGCATGAAAGGAAACAAAGAAAAATACAGCTAGCTATAAAGTGTTATTTAAGCAGATACAACGAACGGAGAAAGTTTGTCAATTCATCCACTGAAAGCCTCTCTTTGCAGCATTATGTAAGTGTCATAAAAAATTAAAAAAATAAAACATCTGCAAGAGGCTGAACTGGGACATATGAGGACTTGATACAACTGAGCTTCCAAGCTTAAATATCTCAAACCACTTTTTGCTTATAGCAAATAAAGTGCAGAGCTGCAGATGCCTTCTCATCTGTGTGTAAATGAAAGCGGAGCCGTGGAGTAGTTAGTATTCTTAGAACTTCTGAGAGCCAGCTTATTTAAATTAAGTCAAAGCCAATCTGTATCTGTACAAAAATAATTTTCTCAGGGCTCTGACTCTCTAGACGCTACAGAGCTGCAGTTTTCTCCCTCCATCCCTCCCTCTGAGATAGACAAGTTAAAAGAGCTGAGCAGACTGAAGGCACTTCAGATAGGTCCAGGAGAGGGAGGTTCAAAGGGATCAAAATAGCCCATGCCTCACCAGCCTCCTGCTATAGGGCAGGGCTTGGCTGCTCTGCCCTATTCTTTGTGCTCCTGCAGCACATCTTGGAATTTATCATGCGGCTGTCTTTTCTACTTCTCCCCTGGCTCCATGCTGTGAAATCTAATGGCAGGAACTGAGTTTTATTTTAGCCTGGTATGGTATCTGTTGACCTAAAAAAAAGTATCTATAGTATGTAATAACACTTGGTATTAGTTCTCACTAATTATTTGAATGGCATGTCTTAGACAAAGTCTGGAGAGATGGCTCAATTGGTAAGACGCCTGTTGTGCAAGTATGAAGACCTGAGTTCAAGACCCCAGAACCCACATAAAAAAGCCAGGGGCAGTAGCTGGAACCAGTAACCCAGCTCTGGAAGGGGTGCTGGTGGGGAGTCAGGTAGTTCCCTGAATCTCACTTGCCAGCCAGTCTATAGTCTAGTCAACTGATGCTCCAGTTCAGAGAGAGGCTCTATCTCAATAAATACGGGTAAGGCAAGGCATGGGAGCATGTGCCTGCAATCCCAGCACTCAGGAGCAGAAGCAGCAGGTCTCTGCGAGTTTAAGGCCAGCCTGATCTACATAATTATTTCCGGGCTAGCCAGACAAAAAATAAAATTGAAAATAATAAATGTCTTAGACAACTTATTAAAAATGCATCTGATAGAGACATAGGATCACATCGAACACCTGTGACAGAGTACTTGCCTAATATGCTAGAGACCCTGAATTCAAACCCCAGTACTAAAAAGAATTAGCATATTTTAAGCTTCCAAGTATAACAAACACTCATAAGAGCCAAGGACGACAAATATTAGAAAAGTGTAACAATGCAGTGTTCACACTTAAGTCCCTTGGTTTAGTACAGACATGTGGCTCTCAATAGGCTTTACTTTTATGACATATTTTGATATAGTGCTCTTTATCCTATACCTCCACTTGCAAGTTTCATAATTTTTAAGCATTCTATGGACAAAAATAAGAATGTATAAATTGGTCAAGGTTCCTGACCACTAATTATCTAGTATGAACTCTCTCTAAAGACAGAGAAATTGCTGTCTGTATCTATGAAATGGCATCATTTCTGTGTTCAGTCAAAATAGATTAATTCCAAGATTAAGACAAGGTAGGGCACCAAAATGTGTCATGTGTCCTATCTCTGGAAGTCTGTGGCATACGGGCTTTCACTCTCCACCGTTTCTTCCCCACTGATGGAGGCAGCCATGCTGCCAAGTACTTCCCACAGACGTACAGAAGGGTGGGGGCGAAACAACTCAATCAAAACAACTCGGGAAGGAGAGGAGAGGAGGGGAGGGGAGGGGAGGGGAGGGGAGGGGAGAGGAGTGGAGATGAGAGGACCCTTGTCAGAGAAGACTGCACACAGGGAGGAGAGACAAGACAACTTTTGCTTCTGCCTTGGCCATCCTGGGTAAATAGTCCCAGGCTGGGCCAACTTTCCTGTCCTGAAAGGCCAGGCTTTCTGTCCTTTAACCTTTACTGGAAGATGTTAAAATCCACCTTGTTATCTGAAAAGCACCTTGTGGGTAATGTCAGCAAGCCGCTTCTGCTTCTGAGCACACCCTGGGGAGCACACCCTGGGGAGCACAGTGGAGGGGAACTCTGAAAGTCAAGCAGCAGCTGGCAGAGGGTAGCACACAGGGAGAGGGAAGCTGGGCTACTGCCCTGCAGACTGACCCAGCAGGGTACAGATTACTCTGTTTTCTGAAATGGAGTTTGGCTCTTGAGTGCCCATCTACAAGGCAGCTTCCTTTATTCTG